TGAATGGATCTGCTATCATGGAGTTTATCACAATATGTTCTATAGTAACCTGACCACTCTGAACTCTTTCTTTAATAACTAGAAATTTGAAGTCTATAAATTTAGACTTTTTTGAACTCCTATTGTTATTTGAATACAAGACTGCTGACTTATTGTCACAAAATAGCTTAAGTGGTCTTTCGATTCCATGTATAATCCGCAGACCAGTAACAAAATTCCGCAGCCATATTTCTTGATTGGATGCCTCATAACACGCTACAAACTCCGTTGTCATGGTTAGAAAAGCTATGAGTGTTTGCTTAACACTCTTCTAGGATATAACTCCTCCAGCCAGCAGGAAGACATAGCCCAATGTGGATCTCCTACTATATTGACATCTAGGAAAATCAGAATCAGCATAACAAATTATCTCCAATTGGTCTGATTTCCTGTATGTGAGCATGTAATCTTTTGCTCTCTATAAATACCGCATAATCTGTTTAGCTGCCTTCCAATGATCCATCATAGGGTTACTTAAATATCTACCTAGCATTCTAACAATGAATGCTATATCCGGACGTGTGCATACCAGAGCATACATTAAACTCCCAATTGCTAAAGCATATAGAATTTTCTGCATCTCCTTTACTTCAAGGTCATTTTTAGGGCATTGATTAAGATTAAACTTGTCTCCATTAGCAACAGGCATATCACCTAGTTTACAATCATGCACCCTAAATCTCTTCAGTACTATATCAATATAACTTTTTTGTGATAATCCAAGAATACCTCGAGAACGATCTCGATATATCTGAATTCCTAATACAAAAGAGACGTCACCAAGATCTTTCATCTCAAAATTCTTTGATAGAAATATCTTGTTTTCGTGCAATAAGACTATATTATTGCAGACAAGTAGTATGTCATTGACATACAATACCAGGAAAATATACTTACTCCCACTGAATATGTGGTATACATAATCATCAACCACATTGACGAGATGATTATTTGATGAATTTGTGATACCATTAACGGGAAGCCTACTTTAGCCCATACAAACCATTTTTTTAAGTCTCCTGACACAGTTTTTCGGTTGCACCATATATATCATCTCATCAATGTCACCATTGGGAAATTCTATTTTTGCATCCATCTGATGTAGCTCAAAGTCAAAATGTACCACAAGTGTCATTATAATCCCGAAAGAATCTTTTGTTGAAATTGGAGAGAAAGTCTCTTTATAATCGATGTCTTCCCTTTAAGTAAAGCCATTTACAACAAGACGAGCCTTATATCTTTCCACATTACCCCTCGAATCTCTCTTAGTTTTATATATTCATTTGCAACCATTGAGTTTCATACTTTCAGGCAATGGGACAAGTTTCCAAACGTTATTGTCTTTCATAGACTTTATTTCCTCACCAATGACATCAATCCAATTTTGAGAATTATTCATTTGTATTGCTTGATGAAAGTTGATAGGATCCTCTTGCATCAATCCAATGCCATCCTCATACTCTTGGAGAAATACTATAAAATCATCAGGAATTGCATTTTTCCTTTCTCTAGTGGATTTCCTTAATAACATTTGTTTTTGAGCTTGTTGAGTTTGTTCTTCTAGAACAATTTCTTGATTGTTTATATGGAATATTGTATCGATCTGAAATTGCTTCTTGAATAAGATGTAGAGCAAGAATTTGTCCTTGATCATGATCATTGTCAATTGAAATAGGAGCGATTTTTATATGTTCCTCTTCAAAGACAAAATATCTAACTTTGTCTCCCATCCTCTCCAAACTCCACATCTTCAAAGAATCAGACATTTCTCATTTTGAAAATTAATTTGGTAGTGAGATCATAAAATTTGTAACCTCTTGACCTTTCAAAGTTTCCAATAAAATAGCAGCTGACATTTATGGAATTCAGTTTCTTTTTCGATAGCCTATAAGGTCTTACCTCAACTGGACAACTTCAAATGTATAAGTGCTTCAAACTAGGCTTTTTGCATGTCCAATGCTCATAAGAAGTTTTTACAGTTGCTTTGTGATAAGTGTATTTTTACATACTTATTTTAATGTCAAAACATGATCAATTATTAATTAATATGTTGGAATATAGCTTAATTCTATGCAATTCATGTTTTGCAGGACAAGTGATGAATGTAGCGGAAATAAGGAGAAACAAGTGAAAAATGACCAGAATGGAGGAAAACAAAAGTTCAGGGACTAAAGTGCAAATAC